TTCTTGGCTGCTGGCTTCTTGGCTGCTGGCTTCTTGGCTGCTGGCTTCTTGGCTGCTGGCTTCTTGGCTGCCGGCTTCCTCGCAGCCTTCTTGGCTGCAGGCTTCTTGGCAGCTGGCTTCCTCGCAGCCTTCTTAGCAGCTGGCTTCCTCGCAGCCTTGTTGGCTGCCGGCTTCTTGGCAGCTGGCTTCCTCGCCGCCGCAGACTTCTTCGGGGAGGCCTTCCTGGGTGAAGTCTTCTTCACGGGCGAAGCAACAGCCACAGCGTCCGACATGTTTCTTTCCCTTTTTTTGTTTTCTTGTGTCGAGTTCTTTTCGTGCACAATCAGCAGACTCTTCCACACAAAGAAACGGCAGGGGGAGCAGTACCCAGACGGCACGCGGCGCAAGAGACTGCGTCAATCTGGAAGTGTGTCCGAGAGGGCCCGAGTTATAGTACCTACTAAACAGAGAGTTCGCAAGTGATGTGGTAAGAGTATTTATCAACTCTGAACCAAAAAAAAAAAAGTTGTTTTCACTTCTTCTCCCATAATGTTCTGAACTTTGCTTATTCATTTGTTCTATTTTGCTGTTGTTGTTGCATTTTTTATTTTTTCCTCTCATTGGCCGTTTACTTTTTCCTTTGTTTTTTTTTTGTTACAGGGATTTTAATTATTGTCCTGTAACCGTAACTTTCAAGGGAAAACTTGTTTGGGATATCTTTCTTCCTCCTCTGACAGTGTGGGTCACCTTGCACAACTTAAGCAGCCGTTTGCCCCCTATCGCCCGCTGTGTGCCCGATTGGACTTGGCAGACTAATAGGGGTCCATCGTTGCCTGCGTTTCTTTTTGTTTTCTTGTATCTTTTTGTACTTCGTCTTCCCCCCAACCCTGTTGCTTTGCAAACATCGGGGGAAGCTCGCTGCTGGCGTGCGGCAGGGAGGGGCGTCCGTCACGCACCCCACGGCGGCGGCAGAGAAAGCAAACTAAGTACCAGAACGTGTTTGCCGCGGGAACGAATTGCACGCACAGAAGCAAAGTGCGTTTGTCGTCGGGCTTCGCCCCCGGATGCCGCTCACGCACACACCGCAGTTTCACGCAGCCTGCGGCGCAGCGTGGCACCGCGCGTTGTCCCGTCCCCCGCCGACGCTGAAGAAGTAACGGGGGGGGGGGGGGGAAGGCGTCAACCCTGTCGCAAAGGCCGGGGTGGGGGGACGAGGGAACGCAGCAACGCAAGACCCACTTACGCATCCCACAAGCAGAGGGACCAAAACAAAGAAGGAAGCGGCAAAAACAAAAAAAAATTACAAATATAAAAAAAAGAGAGAGAGGAGGGGGGAGAGGGGGAGCAATACAACCGAAACGTGTAGAAAAACGAAAGAAGGGAGATGCGTAATTGTACATGTTGCGCATGTATGTAAGTACACATACCGCAAGGCCGTGCACCTTCGAAGGCACATATGAGAAGGGAAAAGGAGGAAACATAGTGCAACCAGACGGTTACACAGTCGCATCAAAACAAAGGCAGTGCGAAGGAAAACGACCCGGGAGCAAAAGCGCATAAAAAGACACGAAAAATAGCAGAGACTAAGGAAGCAAGTAAAAGCAAGAGAAAAAAAAAAGATACGAGG